TCACGGGCTGTTCTACACAAGAGTGACCGTGTTTCTCCAGGATAGAGCTACCGCTAACAAGTGGCAGCAACCAATTCCCAACAAATCCAACGAGTAAGTGGTCAAAACGCGAAAGCCTACGATGGCGACACGATGATTGACGACAGCGATTTCCGGATCGCAGGGCTGTCGTCGGCGCCTGGTGCTGACTGTTGCAAATCTGCGTAGGGGCATGAATCAGTATAACGCGCCAAGGCGCCAGATTCAGCAAATCGAAACCAATCAGCTTTCAACGGAATAGGATTCTTTACAGGGTCCTTCATCAGTAAAATAGGGATTTGAGGATGTCTCTTTTAATATGAGTACATGCTAGCAGTAGCGAGAGACTAGCAACTCATCTGCTACGGCCCCTAAACCCATAAACCCTACACCCAAGACCCTACACCCTAAACTCCTACGGTACATGCTTCAGATGGGACTTTGCCACAACCAGGGCACCGAGGAAATGTAAGGCGGAGCACCTATGGGTCTTGAACAATTAGACGAGGGTTTGATTGGAAATCGTGTGGTATACTTAATTTAGGGTTTAGGGTTTAGGGTTTAGGGTTAACTTATATCAGGCCCCCTAAACCCTAAACCCTAAACCCTAAACGGTGTACTTATATCAGGAACCCTGTGGGAATGATGCTACTGATTTTTAACACCCAAACAATATCAGGCAAAGCACGTGTCGGAACGCCTTGAGATGGTTCTTCTTGTCCTGCGAGTAGGAAAGCAACCTATACCTTAAGCCCTGAACCTCACCCTTTTGACTGGACGTGGCCCTAAACCCTAAACCCTAAACCGCTGCTTCGGGTTTAGGGTTCGGTTTAGGGGTTTAGGGTTTAGGGTTACGGTTTAGGGCTTAGAGTTTAGGTTTAGGGTGAGGGTTCAGGGTTTAGCGTTTAGGTTCAGGGTTGAGGGTTTAGGGTTTAGGGTTTAGGGAAAAAAGCGATAACGGGCTTCCCCCCTAGTCTCTTCATGATCAGGGGCCCTGTTGTCCTACTGTACTTGTTGTCCTACTGTACGGTTTCCAACATGGTATTGCTGGGAGACCCAGATGATGATACAAGCCTCTTCAACTATCATTCCGTCGAGAGCAGGGGCCTACATCGCTGTCCCAAACGCTCACCGAAGCGGGTCCCTGGAAGCCTCTGAAGAATTTGATTTTTGTAAGCAAGATCGTCTTGAGCGCAACAAAGGGGACTATAAAAAATCACTCGTAACGTAAGCTCCCTACATGCAGATGAGATATATGCCGTGACCTGATGTGCTGCAACCTATGAACCCTCAAAACGCCAAAACTCAACATCTCATATTCCCGAAAAACCTTTGAACCACCAGCATTCTGGAGCAGAAGCAGCCTGTCCTTTTCCCGTTTTTTTCCGGAGCCTCCTCCTGAGAGACATTCTGGAGCAACGGAGGGGTTTTGAAAACTACACTAAACCCTAAACCCTAAACCCTAAACCCTAAACCCTAAACCCTAAACCCTAAACCCTAAACCCCAAACCCTAAACCCTCTTTGCAAGTGCGAGGTCCCAGAACTACGGTCCCTCCTCCCTTTTCTCTCGTAACCCATCCCCCAAGGGTCCCGGTTTAGGGTTTAGGGTTTAGGGTTTAGGGTTTAGGGTTTAGGGTTTAGGGTTTCATATACTCTCCCAAATATTAACCCTAAATAACTACTGCTGATGGACAAAATTCTGCATGACCCAAATATAGTAGAGTACCATAAACCCCATACTTTAGGTATATAAGGTCATGCAGGATTTTGTCCATCAACAGTACTATCCGCAACCAAAGTACCCTATTATCGGGTCCTTTGGACCCTTAGGGTACCCTAAACCCTAAACCCTAAACCCAAACCCCAAAACCCAAAAGCCTAAACCCAAACCCCAAAACCCAAAACCCTAAACCCTAAATATCCTAGACCCCTTATCATTGGGTCCTTTGGACCCTTAGGGATCTGGAGCACTTGGAGTTCCGCACCACGGGGCCGAAAGTTGCCGAACAACCCCTGAGCCCTAAGGGTTTAGGGTTTAGGGTTTAGGGTTTAGGGTTTAGGGTTTAGGGTCTAAACCCATGAACCCTAAACCGAGACCCCTAAACCCTTTAGGGTTTAGGGCTTGGGCTTTAGGGTTTGGGATTTAGGGTTTAGGGCTTGGGATTTAGGGTTTAGGGTTTAGGGTTTGGGCTTTAGGGTTTTGGGGCGAGTTTAACCCAGAAACCTAGTAAACTCGCAGGTCGCCTAAACCCTACGCGAGACAGTATGGGTTTAGGGTTTAGGGTTTAGGGTTTAGGGTTTAGGGGTGCGAAGCTCCTGAAGACCGCCAACCAGGCAAGTCTCTTGCATCCAAACCCCCACCCTAAGGGTCCAAAGGACCCAATAATAGGGTAATTTGGTTGCGGATAGTAGTCATTTAGGTTAATATTTGGGAGAGTATATGATTATTAGGTACTTGGACCCTTAGGGCCAAGTCCCAACAAAGCTCTATAGACCTATACCTCAACCCCCCATAACGAACCATTCGGCGTGAAACTGAAACCCTACCCCTCCCTAATAATCATATACTCTCCCAAACATTAGCCTAGATAACTACTATCTGCAACCAAAGTACCCCATTATTGGATCCTTTGAACCCTTGGGGTACCCTAAACCCTAAACCCCTAATATCCTAGACCCCTTAACCCTGGCCCCCTAAACCCTAAACCCTTAACCCTAAACCCTAAAACCCCTAAACATCCTAGCAGACCCCTTAACCCTGGCCCCACTTTCTGTGCCAAGGCACCCATGGCATGGAGCAGCTTTGCCATCTTGGCATCTAGTTGCTTCAAGTCCTTGGGAGTCAACTTCGGGCTGAAAAGAACGCTCGGGAACACTAGGAACCCTCACAGGAACGCTGAGGAGCATAAGGGAAGCTGAATTCCCTAGCACCAAAAGGTTTAACCTGTTGAATATAGTAGGAGTATACAGGCCCCAAAAGGTTAATTTTAGTCGACGAGTTGTAGGGCTAAGGGGTTACGCGCTATCCTGTCTTGGATGTCTTAGGAAAATGTGGGATTTAGGGATTCTCCTGGTTCCCTGTTGAGCTATGTTGGGTTTTATTGTAACAAGAATGTAACGTTGTAGCCAACAAGGACCCAGTTTAGGCTCTAGGGTTTAGGGCTACTCAACACTGGAAGACTGCAAATGCCCAAAAGAAGCAGCCGTTTACATCCGAAGCGATCGGAAGGTGCGTCTTCAAACCCCTAAACTCAATGGGACGCCAAGCCTAAAGGCCAGGAATTCAGGACTTCCTGCTGGATGTCCGGGGTTTCGCGCATAAGATTCCGGGCTAAGGATGCGAGATCACCACCTATGTTGTTAAACTGTGGGCCCAAATGTGATGCATGTACAGCTGAACTACCTGAAGGTCGCACACACATCGGTTTTTTAGGTGCACATGTACTTTCGTAGTGCACATCTGCACATAAGACTGTTCTGTCAGGGCAAGCGCAAACAGCGCAGATATATACGTATATATATATATACATATATATATATATATATATAGCTATACACATACAGGTTAAATGAGTCCTTCAACTACTGGATAGACCTAGACAGACAGATAAATAGATGGCTTGGTAGATTAGATAGCCCGCTAGCTGGCTAACTATATAGGTAAACAGATCATTAGGTAGGTAGAAAATGTGTGTGTGTGTGTGTGTGTGTCTTTTATATGTATGTAATCACATACATCTGTATGCATATATGCATGCATACATGCATGTATGGATGTACGTACGTAGGTATGTATGTATGTATGTACGTATGTATGTATGCGTGTATGTATGAATGAATGTATGTATGTATGTATGTATGTATGTATGTATGTATGTACGTATGTGTATGTATTTGTGCACATGTCGATGCGTAGGTAGGCACCTGTGATGTGTTGCAATATGATGCACTGCAGTACTTTTATAGAGAAAGTGTTTGCTTTGTTTGTGTAAGAGCGTGTTTATGTGCATCACATATCACAGTGGAGAGAGTGGGGGACTGAGGCAAACAGGACTTCATGCTTGTCGGCCGAAGGATCCGCATGCATTGCGACTTGGTCGATTGCACGCGCAGGCCCCTTGCAGCGCATGATGCCGTCGATAAACTCTTCTAGAGTGACCTGCGCCGGGTTCATCTTGATCTTGATCACCATAACCACCATCATCATCCTTAACGCCATCATCGTCATCACCATCGCCACCACCAGCATCACCAGCAGCAGCAGTAGCAGCCGTTACAACCGACAGAAGCACCATTGAGTATTTAAGAAGAAATGCACCTCTTCGGCATTGCCAACACCATCAGAACCATCATGATCCGCAGGATCATGGTCATAGCCGATGACATCTCGGCGCCATTATTAACACCAATGTCGTCAACATTATCAAAATCCATCACACTTTCAACTCAAGTCGGTATCAGTCAATTGATGTTTATGATATCGAAGATCAGTAGCACTGTGTTGATCAGCTCCATCAGCATCACCATCATCAACACCATCACCATCATCATCATAATGGCCATCATCAGCACCACCGTCACCATCATTAGCATCATCCTCATCACAATCATCATCACCATCATAAATCATTAGTACCATCATCACCAACATCAGTATCAATGTCAATATCAACACCAGTATGATCATATGAGTCATAATCACCAATAGCATCACCTTTACCGCCATGACAATCAACAGCTTTATCAGTATGTTCATGATCATGGTGTTCCGTGTTATCGTCCGCGCCCACCATCGCCAGCATCTTTTCCGAACCACATCACCACCGCACCAACTGCAATCACAAGCGCCAAAATAGTTTTTATCGTCACCACCAGGTTGATACCATGAAAACGTGCTAGCCACAGCCAAGGCTGAGTTCTTGCTTTAATCACACTTCAGAGAAATGAAAAAACAACAACTCTCAGAATCCATGTCGGATGCCTCACCATCACCGTTGTCGAGCAAGTGGAATAGAGCTGCCCCTTCGTGAACGTCCAAATCCAGCGTCTGGAAGTACGCCGCGATCCTTAGAAACTTGCAATCTCTTCCCAAAGAGCCATGACGAACTGCACAACATCACTAGTTCCACCGATAATCGTCGACATATTCGTCTTCCTAGATCCCACATGCCCGTCATGTGTAAGTACTTGCTTCACATTGCCGAGGGCGCGAAGAAAAACACTCATGAACACCATGCCCGCCTGTGCATCTTTTTGTTCTGGGGTAATTACCCTAAACATCCTTAAACCTTGAACCTTGAACCTTTAAACTTCAAACCCTAATCCTAAACCCTAAACCTTGCGTCCGAAACCAAGCCCTAAACCCATTCCATGCAGTTCCTTTCCCAGCACCTTTTAGGGTTTACGGTTCAAGGTTGAATAGCCAGCAAAGGATCTTCTGATTGGAGAGAATCTCGTTCATCCTCGCCTCCGTGATTATACCATCACCGGAGTCGTCAATGGCCCTGAAGATGATTTCCAACCTGGCGGTTGCAGCTCACAAAATCAAAGAGCCTAGGGGCGGAGCAGGGTTCAGGGTTGGAGCTTCGGGTGAAAGCCTAAGGCAAGTCCTTATAGGGGTTTTCCGGAGACCATGTTGCGGTATAACAGAAGAACTTGTTACAAGAGCTCGAAAGTATCGCAAAATTGATTCTGCGCTTACGCGACATAGCTACGCTACTCGGAACATGTTGTCTTCGTGCGTACTTATAGCTGGGAAGTACGCGCTCGAAGATGTTAGAAAGCAAGGTTTAGGCACACTTCGAACAACGAAAACATGCAAGGACTTGAGATTTTGTCTTGTGGGAGCGCGCAGTAAGATTGGAAAACATGACGCAGTCCCTGGGTTCCATGGCGTATTCGCGTGTACTCGCAAGAGGGCACCGAATTCACTGGAATTTACAGAACGCACACGTCGACAGAAACAGGGAATCCCGATAGTCGTGGTTTTATGCTGTGTTTCGGTTCAAAGTTATGGGTGTCGTCTGTTGATGTTTGAAAGAAAACATGCAAAAACTCGAGGTTTTGTCGGGTACAAGTGCGGAGAAGTGCTTCAGCACATCAGGAAAACCCTGCGTTTCACGGTGTATTT